TGGAGTACTAATCCCCAAGAGAAACATCTTGGCCTCACAGGATACACAGCACTTAAAGCTGGTTTTCTTCTCAGCATTGGCCATGGAGACATCTCCTACGGTTTTAAACCCTAAAATCTCTCTCTTTAGGTACTGATATGGCCACCATCACAGTCATTAATGAATGTATCCTCACAATTCCCCTCTGTAGTTGGGAATACTACAATTTCCATTTTACAAATAGGGAACTGAGGCACAGAACAATTAAGGGCCAAATTTTTTAAAATTCATCAGCTCCCTTTGAGAACAATGCCCAAATGGGAAATGAGCTCTTTCTGAAAATCTGGCCATTTACTTGAGTGTCCAAATGGGAGCTTTTGGATACTGAACTTTTTCTTCACAAAATCTGCCCCATGTGACGTCCCCAAAAGTCACACATGAAGCCTGTGGCATCCCAGTCTCCTGTCTTAAACATAAGCCCATTCCTTCCTCCAACTAGCTAAAACAGCATTAAAGATAGCTCATAAAGCAGAGTTGTTTGGGATTAGCAAGGGTTCTGATTTTATGGTACGCCAAAAGAACTGGGAGATGGTTAAGGACCATGGCTCTTTATAAACCCTCATTTCTTATTTTTGTAACACCAGAGATATGAAGGCATAAATGCAGTCGCTGCTGCTTTCCAGATCGCAAGCTTATATGGTGAGGAATATGTACATCCCAAGGGTGGGAATCTATGAAGGAAATGCTTAAAGAAGAAGGGAGAAAATATCTATAACATTTTAAAAATACTTGCATTAGGATGACGTATTTTATAAGTAGGTCCTCTATTAGGAATTCAATTATATTTGAGAGACTTTATATTGAAAAGTGTAACTAAAGAAGATATTTAATTTTTTTCCATAAGTTTACATTCTAATTTATTTGCTTAAATAAACATTGTATTTAACAATCTAAATAAAGTGACCTTTCTCCCCACTTTGCAAAGAAAGAAAGAAAAATCTGAGTAACACTCATTAGTTGGGCACACCTGACTGCATAGGACAGGCTTTTCAGCTTTCTTAAGTGTGCCTTATATGATATATGTTTAAGAATGAGGACAAGATCATACTAAAGTGTATAGCATAATTCTGAACCCTAACACCATTCTAAGAATGACTTAATTAATGCCTCCATCTGGAGCACTATTGTGGAATCCTGGGAAGAACTCCACCCGGACAGCAACTGGGATTTTAATTCCTGCCCCACTAAGTAGTTTTAACATATTTTTATGAGCCCAGCAACCAGTGCAGCAATTTTTAAGCCAGTTCATGTTTTTTGTCAGATGAGAAATAAAGAGGACAAGCTAGTTTTCAACATCTTAGAAGAGCAGACGGGGCTGAGGCCCTAGAATAAGAGATCTGGGAATGTCCCTAATTATTAAGGCTATGTTTATGTCAGGGAGGTCATGGAAGTCACTGAATCCCTGACTTCCAGAGACCTCCCGACATTCTCTGCTTCAGCCCCAGAGGCTGCAGGACTCTGGAGCTGACAGCCAGTGGGTTCCAGCGCCAGTCGACAAGCAGTGCCAGGTGACAGATTCCCGAGGGGGCCTCCTCAGGGTTCCAGCCCCCTTGACAGCCTGGCGCAAGGGGAGGAGGGCTGCGGCTGGGGTGTCCCATTTTCTCTTTGGGAAATATGGTCACCCTGCAGCTCCAGCCGCCATCGCCATGGGCAGAGGGGGAACCCCACAGCTCCAAGCCACCACGGCGGTGGGGGAAACCAGGGAACCGCGGCAGCAAAAGTCCCAGGCAGGTCACAGCTTCTGTGAATTGTGGTTCACTGCCCTTGGTCTGCCCGTGACTGTCACTAACATT